AATCAAAATCTCATTTTCTTATGTGATTATCACTTCTTATGTCTCACCTGGCTGTGCGCATCTTTACTTAACTCATTCACTGCCAGCCATTGGCAGTGAATGAGTTAAACCCATTGACTCATTCACTGCCATTGACGGCTATAGACGTCAATGGCAGTGAATGAGTTAAGTTTGAGAACCTCTACATTTCTATTCATAAGAAACATCTCATAACATTTTAATTATGATAAAAAATTCCTGCTTCAATCACCAATCCTAAGATTGAAATATAAAAATGTGTAAAACTGAAAAAAGTCATTGTGCAGGCATCATATTTTATTTTCTAAGATTTCATACATTTTGGTACAAAGTCTTAAAGTTTAAATTACAAAAAAGATAAATATTTCAAGGAAAGAAAAACACATTTGTGCAAAAACTGGAAAGAAAATTGAATAAATTTGAAAACAAATGCAATAAATAAATACATAAAAATGAAATATATCAAAATTAAAATGAAAGAAAACTTAAAACTGTGGAGAATAAAAGCAAAAATACAAAAATATGAACTAAAAATATATAAAAGTTAAATTTTAAACAACAAACAAAAAAAGCACATACAAAAGTTTTCACATTTAGAAAAAAAATGGCCATATTAGGATTAAAGTTGAAATTTCGACATTAAATTTAATTAGTATTTTGAGAATAAAAGTCTAAATGGGGAGATTGTGGTTGTTGTTTCAACCAAACAACTGAAATGGCTCCTGTACCTTCTATAAAATTCTTAACATGGTCCTAATACTCTTTCATAGCAATGTGCCTATGAACACAGCATCACAGCATAGGGGCACAACGTGCACTAAACAGCAGGTTCGCTACAGCACTTAAAAATCAGCCAAAAACACTCTGATTGGTTATCTCATTCTCAGTTTGACTCTATAAAGACCATTCTCTCTTTCTTGTAGAACTGTAATTATATTTGTATTAAAAATCAACACCATGTTTACCTCTGTGCCCTTAATTTGTCACCCGCAATTTGAGAACCACTACTGTAATCATTTTTTGAAAAAAAAAACCACCCTCATAACCTTTGTAATTGTTATAAAAATCAAAATTTCGGGTGAGGACAGTTGGCTATTGCTCTGAGAAATGTTGGAGTCCAAAGGCAGGGGAGGAGGAGGAGCTTAGGAGGAGGTGGAGAGGGGGTGGAGTGTTTATCATTAAGATAATAAGAGGAGATAGACATCAGAGCCAGATCAGCAGTGCACACAGCAGCGTCAGTGGGTTTAGATTCATGACATGGAAACAAAAGTAATCTACTTCACGGTGAACGGGAGACCGGAGCAGGCGGAGTTCCCGGTTGATTGTCCGGCTCAGGACGTCAAAGGTAGGAGCCGAAGCTGAAGTTTATGTTTCATATGATCAAATGCATTCTAACGTGTTGTTTTGGACAAATGAATTAAAGTGGAATATTCTTATGCTTAGAGTTCAGGAAATACTCTTTTGTGACTAAAATCAATAAAGCAAATTTGATAAATGGATCAACATAAGACAAAGCAGTCTTTGCTGCAAATACAGCTGCCACTGACAGCTCCTCACCTCTCACAGCAGCTTCAGCCTTTGGCATCATGGTCTCCACGCACATTACATACTGCAGATTTTACTCATTAGAACAGGGCTGTAACTGCAAGCAGTGTTCTTACTTAATTTAGATGACTGCATTTAACTTCTACTGTACTAGTTTTTGAAGTTTACTTTCCTGTATTGAATTATCTGAACTTTGTACCTGCATAGTTGTAGACACTCGTTCCACTTAATTTGTGCTTGATTTTTCTAAACAGTTCTGCAGTGAGAAGCTCAGAATCGAGGCACTGTCAAAAATGTTTACCTTTACATCTTTTTTTGGTTAATATTTCAGTGCAGTCATTTATAGAAAACTTTACATGTGTGATGCGTGTTTTTCAGCGTTTGTGACTGATAATTATAATAGAGACTCCTGCAGTGCCTAATGCCTCCCAATCATGTTCGGGGCTGCTCGTGTTTCTGAGACACTACGGTGTATGGGGCACATTAAGGCAAAAACCCCCTCAGCTTTCTAAGTACTGTAATTCTCTGAGAACTGGGTATATTAAAACATTTCTAAACTAATATTAGATGAAGTGCTATGAATATAAATAATAGAGCTCTTTTAGTTTAATATACATTGTATGATTATGGAAGTTCATATTGAATACCCAAGTATGAGTATAGCACAACCACACTAACCAAATTTGTGTAAATCACCCCTCTTAAGTAGATTTTACTTTTTTCTGATAAACTGTTGATGTTGGTTTTTGTTATAGTTGGTTGTTGTTGCTGATTGTTGTTATTGGTGGTTGTTGGTTGTGGTTGTTGCTGATTGTTGCTGATTGTTGCTGGTTGTGGATTGTTGTTGGTGACTGTTAGTGTTGCTGGTTGTTACAGTTGTTTGACGATAATGGGTTGTTTAGATACTGAGCACTTTACAAATATTATATAAGTGTTAGCACAAAAATTATACCAATAACCTAAAGAAAACAAAATGCAAGAAAACTTTCAAAATAGCTCAGAACAGACAAAAAATCTAAGTCTAAATGAAATGATTCATATCAAAGTTGGTTAGTAATTTGGACGTGGTTATATATATCTGTTCATTTGAATAACAGTTCCTGGATTTCCTCAAGTGATTCTATAAAATAAACCTCAAGCTGGTCTTTCTAGATCTGTTCCGCTCTGCCGCCGAGGCCGGACCCCATGACATCCTGAAACTGTACAACCCTAAAGGCAACATCATCAACATTTCTCCGAGCCTTGAACCCAACAGCCCCAACCTGTGCTACAAGCTGGAGGTGGTGGCTGCCGACTGTAACAGTGAGCTGTTAGGTATCTTTAATTAGGCATCGTGGGAATGGCAGTGATCTAGTTCACATGGAAACTGTTGACAGTCTCCATCTTTTTATGTCATTTCAGGTGCCGAGCTTGCTGGTGCACTAGGATTTGACCTGTCATCCATGGAAAAAAGGTAGGTGGGGCAGGCCGGGTATTAAAGGAGAGAACATGCGTAAAGATCTCTTAGGTATGCTACCATCAGTGTGCTTTTTAAAGTCTCATATCAGGCATTAAAGACCAGAATCTGAGCCATGACACGTACAGCTGAAAAGTTCATGAATGGTTGCTTCACTGATCCCAGACTGCAGGGCCTGGAGAAGAAAATCCTCATCGAGGCTGGCGAGACGCCTGCAGTTGTGTATGAGATGAAGAAGCAGGTGGATTCATTCAGAGAGAAACTGGAGGTATCCCAGCAAAGTTTCCCACATCCAGTGTTGTGTTGTTTAAGCTTGTTCCGCCTCAAATAACTGAACAAAAATACCAGAAGTTTTTTTAAATTCAAAACTTAGAGACAAACATGGGGATAAAGTGGGTTTGGCAGGTGGGGGAACCCTATGATTAGATGTCACAGTGCAGCAGGCCTGGGGAAATAATCACTTAGGAAGAAGTCAGTAATAATTTGTAGTGTGAGCTCCAGTAGGTTTGTGTTCAGTGCTGCTTGCCATTTGTCTTCAGAGTGTGGAGCATCTAAGCTGGCTGGGGCTGTTCAAAGATCTCTCGGAGGGAACCCACAAGCCCTCACCGTTCTACCACAAAAGGACGCTGCGTAAAACCAGGGAAGAGTGTGAACATGTGCGGGAAAAGTTCCTGCAAATGAGGTTTGTAAAAATTCACACTAAAATGTTTGGAATAATTTGCTATTCTTACTCCTCATGCCACAATCTTTGCAGCACTTTGGAGGTATCTGAGGAAGTGAGGCAGTACCTGAAGACGCCAACCTTTGATAACTGGTAAGTTTTGCTTTAAAATGCATGAATCCAATTGCTTTTAATGTCACCTGCTGAATCTGTGTTCATCACCCTGATGCGTCTTTGTGATCCTAAATAAACGAGCGCACCTGTTTCCTCCGTGGACAGTGAGGCAGGCGGTCAGCTAATGACAGTCGTGCCCTGCAAACACATCTGATGTGTTTCTGAAGAGGATGGAAGCCCTCAGCCTTTTCTTCTGATCTGCACACTCATCTCAATATGAATAGGCCTGGATGAGGACTCGCTAATTAAAAGAAGGTCTTTATAAAAGCCTTAATATGCACACTGCGTTTGAAGTGAGCGCCATGCATTCACTAAGGTTCGGTTATCTTTTCATTTGTCCAAAAGCTTTTAAAGCAAACCTGCAGCAATAGAGGAGCATCGATGAGGTTAAGTTCATCCTACTAAAGCTTGGAGCTAAATTACAGGATTCCTCTAAACACCTGATAAAATGTGCTTTTTGCAAGTTGGCCAGTGCAGTATTATCAGGAATAATTCTGACGTGATCCTGCACTCTTGCTGCTGTAAACAAATTTACTGAAAAGACTAAAACCCTCAGTGTGTTCGTATGTTTCTCAACACAGGAGTGCAACCACTCCTCGTGAACACAGAGCACAGTCAAACATGTGTTTGAAAAGAAAAAAACACATGAGTTTTAAGCAAAAATGCAAAAGTAGATGTTCAGTAGCTAGATAAACAAATGTGGGAACAGGGTCCCAGCAAACAGAAAGGTGATAACGCTATACCTGCACTAAATTTTGGAGAAATATAGTGAAAACTGATGTTTTTATGAATATTTTAGTGCTGTCAGCATTAATCGCGGCAAATCTCTGTTAGCGAGTTATCGCAGATCACCCTGATGCGTGTGGCTGGACGGCGCTAACGCGTTAACGAGCATTAATGAGGTGTGCAGCCACAGGCACTGGGCGAACTCGCTAACAGAGATCTGACGCGTTAATGTGGTTATGGCGTTAATTTCGTTTTAGCGAGATTAACGCTGACAGCACTAGAATATTTTTTTGTTTGTGTCAGTCAAAATAACATTTTTTGTTCTTTCTGGATTTGCAAGACTTTCACCTTTTTTTTTAAAAGAAAAGAATTTCATGACAGATGGTTATGGTCCTCACTATTCCAACTTTGGCATCAGAGGGTTGAATATGTCTAAATGGTTCAATAATTGTCCTCTTTCCTTCCTCAACACTTCAGCTGACTCCACAGCTTCTACATTTCTGTGTTGAATAATTATCGTCTGCTTGTCTTTCCTCAAAATCTTGTCTTGAAAGATGTGCTGAAAGATCCATTCTTGGACTTTGTAGCAATGGGAAATTTATGTCTTTTACATTATCTGTGTGTCCATTAGAAAACATTTCACCATTCAAGGTTTTTTTTGTTAAGCTGAAAATTGGCAGGTCACATTTAGCCTGGAAATCCGAGTGGAAGGACAAATGTTGACTGGTTGGCTATTGATTGTTTTTTTCTGGTGATGTGCAGGCAGTGGGAGGATGCAGAGATTATGGTGCTCCTGCAAGTCATGTACACAGATTTAGACTTTATACCAACCTTCAACATCGAGCCCGAAGTCTTGCAGCAGTTTCTGTTCGAAATCTATCGCAGATACAACAACATCCCTTTCCACAACTTTAAACACTGCTTCTGTGTGACCCAGATGGTGAGTATGTTTAACACCTGCAACTAAGGGCGTAATTCCCAATTACGCTGTGGTTAAATTTACCTACAAATACTTAAAGGCAGTTACACTAGAATAAGAGGGTAAAAAGTTAGTTAGGAAACAAAGAAAGTAATTTTAAGTACTGTGTAGTTTCATGGTAATAATGGTACACAGCACTTTTCAGGTTGTGAGGCATATTTTGGCTCCATCACTAAAAGCTCACACAGGTCTACAAATTATTAAATATAGCGCACACCCCGAAAAGTACAGCATATTTACACATATGTAAGAAATATTGTGTTTTTCTGCAAAATCCATCCATCCATCCATCCATCTTCTTCCACTTATCCACGGCGGCCAGGTTGCAGGGCAGCAGCCTAAGCAGAGAAGCCCAGACCTCCCTCTCCCCAGCCACCTCCTCCAGCTTATCTGGGAGAACACCAATGCGTTCATAGGCCAGCCGAGAGATATAATCTCCCCCAGTGTGTCCCAGTGGGACATGCCCGGAACACCTCACCAAGGAGGCACCCAGGAGGCATCCTTATCAGATGCTCGAACCACCTCAACTGGCTCGTTTCAATGTGGAGGAGCAGCGGCTCTACTCTGAGCCCCTCCCGGATGGCTGAACTTCCCACCCTATCTCTAAGGGAGAGGCCAGCGAACCTTCAGAGGAAACCCATTTCCAACACTTGTATCTGCTATCTCAATCTGTCAGTCACTACGGACAGCTTGTGACCATAGATGAGGATAGGGACTTAGATTGACCGATAAATCAAGAGCTTCGCTTTTACACTCAGCTCTCTCTTTACCACAACGGACCGGTACAGCGTCCGCATCACTTCAGCTGTAGCACCAATCCGAAAGTCGATCTCCCACTACCTTCTGCCATCACTCGTGAACAAGACCCTGAGATACTTAAACTCCTCCACTTGGGGAAGGAACTCGGAGTTGGCACTCCACCATTTTCCAGGTGAGATTTGGAGGTGCTGAGTCTCATTCCCCCTGCTTCACACTCAGCTGTGAATTTTTCCAGTGCGAACCATCACCCGTTGAAGCCAACAGAACCACATCATCCGCGAAAAGCAGAGATGGGATTCTGAGACCACCCAAGTGAAAGACTTCCGCCACTTGGCTACACCTAGAAATTCTGTCCATAAAAATGATGAACAGAATCGGTGACAAAGGGCAGCCCTGCCGGAGTCCATCACCCACTGGGAATGAGTCCGACTTATTGCCAGCTATGTGGACCAAGCTCTTGCAATGGTTGTATAAGGATCGAATGGCCCGAAGCAATACGCCAGACACCCCATACTCACAAAGCACCTCCTACAGGACACATGTAGACTGGTTGGGCAAACTCCCATGCACCCTCAAGTATCCTTGAGAGAATAAAGAGCTGGTCCAGTCTTCCACGACCAGGACGAAAATCACATTGTTCCTCCTTTCTCTGAAGTTCGACTAACGGATGAACTCTCCTATTTAGCACCCTGGCATTTCTGCAAAATTATCATGAAATTACACAGTTTTCAAATTTACTTACGGTATAATTATTTGCTTGTTTCCTCTAAGAACGGGACTTGTTCCCCCTTATTCTAGTGTGCCCATCTTTAAGTATTTGTAGGTAAATATAATTAGATTTTAATTTGAAATAAAAATTGGACATTATAAAGTGATACCAATAAATGCAGGTAAATCCTTCTTCTTCATTCTCTCCATTTGTGTTGTTGCCTTTGTTTGTCTTCCCTCTGAGCAGATGTATGGTTTGATCTGGCTGACTGACCTGAGGAGTAAGATGGACAGCATTGACCTGCTGATTATGCTGACCTCTGCAGTCTGCCACGACCTCGACCACACGGGATACAACAATGCCTATCAGGTACACAAAGCACACTTTTTAGGCTTCCCTAGTACTGAAACTCAGACCTGCATTGTGGTTTGTTGTACCAGTTGGAGTTAGAGCACTCCCGGCCTACATATCAGAATATGAGAACAGAATTTTGATTCAACCTGAAAATTTGGCTCGGTGCGATTTTTGTACACATTTTCTCACTAGATGATGTAAAACTGTGATATGGCAACAATTTTCTGCATGTAATGGATGGCACTTACTGCTTTCATATAATAATGAAACTCCTTTAAGATTAGGGAAAAGTCTCTTTGAGACTCTTTGAGAACCAGTCCATGTAATTCTGTGTAGTTTCATCGCTTAAAATCTTTTATACCAGTTATTTCGAAACTACCACCTTTTGCACTGTAGAAGAACAGCCAACACAGGTTTTGCTGGGACTTCAGTGCAGATGATGTTACAACACTCTGTGATGTTTTATTCATCTGAATTTTCCAGTTTTCCAAAATAAGGTTGAGGCTTGAACTTTGGTAAGAATCTCATGTCTGACTGTCCTTCAGATAAACGCTCAGACTGAACTCGCTCTGCGCTACAATGACATCTCTCCTCTGGAGAACCACCACTGTGCTGTAGCTTTCGAGATACTGGAGAGGGTAAGAATGAAAACCCTCCATTAACCTGCGTACATGCATGGATGACTCCACAGTGACCCGAGAGTCTTTGTTTCATAGACAGAGAGCAACATCTTCAGGAATCTGTCCACGGATCAGTACAAACGGATACGAGAGGGGATCATCAAGTGAGATCATCTTCCAATAGTCATGTTTTTAATTTTTCTCCCCCCAAAAGGAGGGAATATGTCTGCCTGTCTGTCTGTTTGTTAGCAGTCTAGCATCCACAATTTTCAAGATATCATGTTCAAATTCTGTGTGCCGGTAGAAACCAAGCTAAAGGTGATTTAATTTTGTGTAAAAATGCTAGACCTTGAGGGACATGTGTACCTAGTTTGGCTAAGCATTTAACCTTAACCTTCATTGTTACGTCCAAGGTCAAAGTTGACCTTGAAAAAACTTTGTAGAAACCATATTGAGTAATATATCATAAGAAAGGGCACGCAGAGAGCAGTGCAAAACACTTTTTATTTTGTCAATACAACACCCTACAGTGTCACAATGATGTCATAAGATGACATCAGTATTTTATAATAAAAACACAAAAAAACCCATCAATGTGTTAGTGTAGTCTTTGCCTTCTGTGGGGAAGTTGTGATCTCTGAGTGCTCTTGTTCATCATGATATCTTAGCACAGAATTTATAATGAGCACTGATTGTTTCAGATGCATTCTGGCCACCGACATGTCGAGGCACAATGAGGTTCTCAACAAGTTCAAGTCCATCCTTCCAGTGTTTGACTTCACCAACAAGGACCACAGAGACGTGGTAAGACTACAGAGCACCGTGGAAATTTGGAAGCATGTATACATCTATTTACTGTTGTTGTTTGTGCAGCTAATGACGATCCTGATCAAAGTGAGCGACATATCCAACGAGGCCCGGCCCATGGAGGTGGCTGAGCCCTGGCTGGATTGTCTTTTACAGGAATTCTTCAACCAGGTACCGACTCCTGCTGAACTTTGTCAAGACATTTCAAAGTGACAATATGATATGATGCTGTTTTTGATGAGATATCTGTAACTTAAAGAGAGATGTTTTGGAGCACAGTGACCTGAACTCTAAATGTTTTGGCTCTACCATGAGATTCAGGGACGGTCCAGCTGATTTTTGAAGGGCAGAGACAAACTGTGAGGTTCTTTATAGACACAGTCTGTTATCAAGTTGTGTGACCTTGTTGGTGCAGTTCATTATAACAAACGCAGATTAACTTCACTTTTTAAAGCTACAGAAACTAAAATATATTACCTTTTAAATTCAAATGTTAAACCCACTGTGGCCTTACAGTAATGAGGGTGTGCCACACAGCTGAACACCCCTTATAAAGCAATAGAAGTAAACTAAGTTAAGTGGGTCAAATCTGTCTCCTGTCGTTCTGTCAGAGTGATGTGGAGAAGTTGGAGGGCCTTCCCGTTACCCCCTTTATGGACCGGGATAAAGTTACCAAACCTTCATCTCAAACAGGCTTCATCAGATTTGTTCTTCTGCCTCTCTTCATCGAGCTGGCCAACCTCTTCCCCTGCCTGGAGGTATTAAAATCAAAAGTACGGAGAAAATGTACTGTATGTACTTCTTTGAAAGCATCTTTGCAAAATTTAATGAAGACTTTCACAGGAAGGTGTCCAAAACATCTTAAATAAGTGGCTCAGATGAAAAGAAAAGACTAAAATAAACAAAAAAAAAACCCTAATTGGTGTGAAAGGCAGCACAGGTAAACGGTGAACAGTGTAAACAGGGTAAAATTTACAAAATAAAACAGGAAATTACTTTACAGAAACCCGTCCTCAGCAAGTGTTAAAGTACAGCCGGCCTTTTTCTACAGTAAGGAACTCATAAATGGTTAAATTCAACCCATGTTTTTTGGTCAATTGTAATCAGTTTAAACTTTTTTTGCAATAATTCTGCAGCAACACATTATTGATCCCGTCCGGAAAGCTCTCGACTACTACACAGAGATGGAGAAAGCTCTGGAGACGGAGCAGCAGAACCGGGCTCAGAGCGAGAACGCAGCCAAGAGCAAGGAGGCAGCGGGAGGCCGACAAGACAGCCAGACGGACGCCGGGCCAGACACCTCGGAACCAGAGTCACAGTTAACATGAATGATTTCATATCAGTTCACTGTCATATTGATTATTTGGTGGACTAAACGTCCTGTGATGTAGTTTCTCTGCATGCAGTGTTGATGTAACTAGAATAGAATAACATCACATTCAACAGAAGTCTATTTTAAAATAAATCTGTTTCTCACAGAATATATTTTATGAAAGAAACATTATTTGTAAAGGATCATAACACTGCGTTGTTACTCTGGTGCTGAAGTACCCATGAAAACACTATGTTGTAATGACTGCCGCTGTTGTTTGTTTGTGTGTGTGTGTGTGTAGGTGTGTGTGCTCTGAGTTGTTCTTGGTCTAGTTTGCAGTTAATAAAACACACACAGGGAGTTTGCTGTACTGTGTATTGTTGTCATTGTTCTATCTGTAAAAAAAAATGGGTTAAAAAGTGCTAAAGACTTGAAAACTGAAAGACGATAATTTAATGCCAAACCAACCAATCAAGCAAGTGACATGACCCTAACCACAAAACTGTGTTAGCCAATCAGAAATGTTAATATCCAGGTTAGCTAAACATTTGACCTTGACTATCATTGCTAGCGCTCAAGATCAAAGTTGACCTTGAAAAAAAAAAAGTCAACAAATGATCCAACCATACATTATCTTATCTGCTTATCCTTATCAGGGACACTGATGGGCTGGTACAGAAACCATATCAAGTAATATTTCGAGTCGTAGGTAGTTGCAATGTTACTATAACAGGCTGATGTCATCATGTTGGAATAAGAACACCATAAAACTTTAAAGTTGTAGTTTGGTTCTCTTGTTTTGCTGTTGTTTAACAGAGACTTTGAGTGAAACAAATGCCTGGTTATCAGCAGGTGCAGGATGCATTACTGGACACTAGGTGGCACCATACTGCAGAGTTCAGAAAGATCAGCTGGGACCAGAAGTTCAGTCAGAGGGAATCACAGCTTTGTCTCCAACAGGAAGTTCAACTCTTAGCCACCGGTATCTTTGTTAGAGGCTTCCTTCTCATCTGCTTTTAATGTATATTCAGTTTGGTGCACTTTCAGAATGAATTACCCAGCAGTGTGATATATTTTTACCTTTACACAATAAACCTTCTCTAAAATGTTGATTGTTTACTTGTTTTAGAGGTATTGACATCACTTTAAGACTGTTCTTTCCCCCTCGGGAAGACAAAAGACGCCGTGGTGTGTGGGGCCTCTGGCTTCTCTCGCCTGAATGAACGCTGGTATGTGCTCTGTACTTGCAGGGGGTCACCATTCATTCTTCTACAAATGCCAGCAAGCAATGTGACCCGGAGCAAGTTTGGCAGCGGGGAAGAAGTCCCAGAATAGTGTTCCTCTTTATCGTTTTTTCAATGACAGAATCAGCTATTAAAGTTTGCTGGTAGCAATCCCATCACAGCTCAGAGCCAAATACAGATCTGTTCTTTTTATAGGCTTCTCATAATCAGAGGAAAACTCTGAGTGAAAGAAGAGAAGGGCAGGCAAACGTCGTCACCCAGAGCTGCTGCAACAGCTGCTGACAGCGAAGGACTCAGATTGAGAGATGATCCATTTACAAAACCCACTTGAATAAGATTAAAACCCCTAAGAACCCTAAAAAAATCAAATATTTAGTATTTAGAGGACTTGTATTTGTGCACACAAATAAAATCCGGAAAGATTAACGCTTTAAAAACTTGGAATCAGCTTTGAATCTTTGATCTGCATAAAGATTCAAAGCATGGCTGTGGAGCTACTTCAGACAGTTATCCAGTGACTTCTAAACATCTGAGAATTAGTGCTTGTGTGTGCACTTCAGTCCACACTGTCTGGTTTAAAATCCACTGTGCAGTTGTACAGAGGTAGTGGGCCCCACAGTGGCAAATACACATGACCCTGACTGCATGATTATAAAGTTCATGAAACCCAATCTCAGAATGAATGAGCAATAAATGCTAATCAGAAATATAAAGACAGTTATCCGTTGACTCTATGGACTTCCCCGTATAATCTCGGGTCATCCAGTTCCATGTTTTTGGTGTTTCAAACTGCAGCTGCTCGACTTCCAAGTGATCTGACGGAAGGACAACAAGTGTTCCAGCCCAGCTGCACGAGCTGAGGTCATTTTTACACAGTCTTTGAGGGTCTCTGTGAATATGCTCCACAGCAGATTACACATCAAATCAAACCCCATCCTCTGCCTCCAGGTGATCCCCTAAAAACTAAAGGTGACCGGGCTCTGAAAGAGTCTGATGGCCCACATGAAGGCCATGTCTGAGGGTTTAACTGTGAAGGTTATCTGCCCCAAATGATTTTTTTTTTAAATATTTACTTTATTGTTTTTATTATTATGTTTTGGAGATGTTTAAAGATGTTTCTGTTATGTACCGGTAGAACTTTTTTTTAATGATATTTGATATTAATTTTTGTTTGTTTTTTATGTGGTTTTTTTTTGCATTTTTAAGATCCAGATGTTTTAAAATTCCGGTATCTATTATTTTTAGTTACTTTTGTTTTTATGTGTCCTCGTTTTTTTTTTGTTTTTGTTGTTGTTTGTTTTGGGTGAACTTGACCCTGACAGCTGATTGGTCGGAGTGTGGCCAACGCCTTCTGAGCGAGCAGCCAATCGGAGACTGCGCTCGCTGCGGGCCGGTTACGGTGATCGCAGAGGAGGAGGTCTGTGTGTCAGTGTGCACCGTGCGCACCGGGCGTCTGTCCTTCTCCACCTCACCGAGGAGTCGTGTTAGATTAAAGCAGAGATTCACCGGCTGTGTTTAACACTCGTTTTAAAGAAGAAGAAAATAAAAATGGACCCGCTGGTTGCTGCTATTGATCAGGGCACGAGCTCCACGAGGTTTCTGGTGAGTTTTAGTGAAGTTTCGCTGTTTTCATGTTGTGTTCAGGGACCGGGAGAGCAGCTGGGACAGCAGACTACGGAGACTCTGTCCTGTGCTCAGAGGCTTTGGCCAAACAGCTGTAATCGTGGATGAAGTGCAAATCAACACGTGACTTATATCTGTGTTGTGCTCGGCTCAGAAACAAGCTTGAACATCACGATGATTCTATTTAAACAGAGATTTAAATAGAAAAAGCAACCAGTGGACTGGAGCAGCACACTGACCTGTAGCTTCCACCTGCTTTGGATGGGGTTCAGGTGCATCTACAAAGAGCTAAAATCAGTCCAGCTGAATGATCACTTTGAACAAATTTGGACTTCCTCAACCAGGTCAGCTGGAAAATCGAGCTTTGGCACAGAGCATGAGCAGTGAGGGGCTCAGAGGAGGTAAAAGTGCTGTTGGAGTGCACAGAGAGAAATTCAGATTTGTGGGTTTTTCTGACACGTAAGAGCTTCTACTCATAAATGAATCATAAATGAATTTATTTTCGGTGCTTGAGATTTAAACGTCCACAGGTGCTGAACTCTCTGAAAATAAAGGCCTTTACTGTGTCATCATCAGCTGACATAACGGTCGTTCTGAGCAGCAGTAAAACTTTAACCTAACGCCTGATTTTGACTCTTGATCATTTGGCTGCGAATCGACTGCAAAATTGTCACAGAGCCTTCGTTTGTGTATACATGTGTAATGATCTCATAAAAACAAACTTTACTGCGTCTTTACGGTGTTGCATGTGCTACCTTGTGGTCCTCTGTCATGGTGTTACTCCAGAACATAGATTCATAACATCCTAGAGGATCTCAGTTGGATTCAGGTCTGGAGAATGTGAGACAAAGGCATCAGCGCCTTCATCATCCAGGAACTGCCTGCACACTCCGGGTACATGAAGCCGGGGATTGCCCTGCACAAACAGGAGGTCTGAGAACCTGGCATGTAACAGAAGTCAGGGTGCTGTTGGCTAGCACGTGGAGGCCTGCGTGACCCTCCAAGGATACGCCTCCCCAGACCATCACTGACTCACTGCCAGGCTGGTCATGCTGGATGATGTTACAGGCAGCATAACGTTCGCCACGGTGTCTCCAGACTCTGTGAACCTGCTCTCGTCTGTGAAGAGAAGAGAGCATCGGTGGTGGACCTGCCAGTTCTGGTGTTCTCTGGAAAATGCCAGCCAGGCTGTGAGCACAAGTCCCACTAAAATGCCCTCATCTGACCCTCACAGAGTATCTGATATCTCAATCAGAGACATGCCTCTGACTCTGGCAGTACTCCTCCTGACCCACCTCGCATTAATAAGCAGATACCATCCCTGCTGCTGGGTCTACTCCACGCTCCTGACACTGTGCCTGGAGACACTGCAAACAATCGGCTTCCCAACTGGACGCGAGTTTAGAAATGAGTACATGAGATGGAGCGCTCAGGGTGAGCAGTTTGGAGGCAAAATTAGAGAGGGAAGGCTGAGATGTTTGGATGTGTGCGGAAGAGGGAAAGAAGGAAGAGGAGGTTCACAGATGCAGAGGGTTGGGTGAGGGATAGGGTGAGATGGAGGGAGATTATCTGCTTTGGCGACCCCAGAGGAGCGCAGCCAAAAAGAGAAGAAGAAGACCTGGAGACTTTGATATCCCTGACGTTTACCTGACTTTGAGTTATGCTCTGATGATCCAGCGTTCCCTTCCTTTTTTTGAGGTGTCATTAACAGTCAGAAGGGCAGAATACATGTCTAAGCTGTGGGTGGATGATTGAGAATCAGCCCTAGACTCAGCAGCTGAGAGTGGAGTTGAAATCAAGATGAGGAACTCAGAAGAGAAGCAGCTTTATTGTTTTATTTGTGTATTTGTCACAGATTGGGTCTGTGGGTGCAGAGGACGTTGTTTTATATGCTTATTAGTTTTTGAATCAGTGAGCGTAGCCCCGTACGATCAGTATTTGTGAGGTCACATTTTTTTTGGGAGCAGGTAAAAAAAAAAACAAGTTCAGACTGAGTTCAGTTCTCATCAGTTTTCAGTAAGCGTGATGATTCAGACTTTTAACACTGATGGTGCAACACTGAACTAAGATGACATCAGACGTCCTCCTTGCATCAATGCTCTCTCTTTTTACAGGCTGAGTTTGTTCCTGTTAGATTTCCAGTGTAAAGTAAGTCAGGAAGTCTAAAGTTTAGACTTTAGGGTTGAAACTACTCTTGGA